AGCTGCAGGGTAATATCAAGTATGTTAGGAAACTATGTTTTGAAAACTCTTAAACAATTTATGTTATGGATGTGTAAAATTTAAAACAATGTACTGGATGTGAACAATATCAGTTTGGTGATGTTTATGTTATGATTCATTTATATCCATTGTGATGATATTCAATTTAAGTGACGCGAGCTCTCGGACGTTTCCGCCGTCTGGTTCGGGGGTGTGACATAAAATACCACCACCACCGTTCACCACCGGTTGGAGATATGAACGCCGCCACCACCGTCGCCGACCATTGATATGAACGCCATAAAGGGTTTCATGGTGGCGGCGGCGGGTAGATTAGGGTTTTCTGGAGACGGCGCTGTAAGTCAAAACATCCTTAATTTTCCGGTGAAGACTGAAACATCCTCGTTTCTTCAGTGAAGACCCTCGTTTTTCCGACAAATACCCTCGTTTTTCCGGTGAAGGATGAATTTTTTTTTCATATATGTCGATCTGAAAACCCTCCCCTTCTTCAGATCTGAAAACCCATCCCACAGTGGTAGCTTGATTTTCAGGACAGAGCACCACCGCCGTTGCCAATGTTTGTTCATCCGACCAAGCTTTAACAATGACGGAGTTTAGATGGTGTTTTGGTGTTGGGTTTGACAGCTATTCCAAATGAAGATATAAAGTGGGAGAGAGAGAAGGGGAGCTGGGGGAGGAGTGAGAAAAACCTAGTTCCGATCTCCTCTAGATCTTGCAGGCGCCGACATTGCCGGAGAAGGAAAAAGAGAGCGGAGCAACAAATCTGTAAACGTGTGCAAACCCTTGCTCCGATCCGAGGTGGCGACATCTTCATCTGCTCTGATTTGAGGTGGCGACGTAGATCTAAGAAAGGGTCGACCGTATGAAACCACCATGAAACCACCCCCGTCGTCTGCTAAAAATCGAGCCGGTGAAGGATAAGGATTTTCAGAAAAATTGCTTGTTCATGTTTGAGCTTACAGATCTGAAAAAATGAGTGTTTTGTGGCGTCCGATGGCGGTGGTGGTGTCTGACGACGGTGTTCCCAGAATTAATTAAATGGAAGAGGGTATAAGATGTTAGATAAGGAGTGAGTAGGTGGGTAGGGGTGGAGTGTTTTTAATTGTCTTTTTTTAATTAGAAAAATGATTAAATAATTAAAAAAATGGAAATACCAAGGGCAAATCCGTTATTATAAAAACTTTATAAATTTTTAGGCCAAACTTGCAATAAAATTCTTATTTTGGACCACTGGTATAAATTCAAAATATTTTGGACCAAAATCTCAATTTTTGACATTTGAGGGACAAAATTTACAATTTTGTCAATCTACAACGGTGGCTAACCCAAGTAAGCACTACAGAACAGTGCTCGGTGTCATGGTCCGTTAACTCCGACTTCTGATACGCCGTGTCACTCACACCCATTTCAGACTCACCCTTCACTAATAACGAGCAACGACGACGATCGGATGGTGTATTAGCGGGTGATGGTGGCGGACGGTTGTTTACAAGCGCTGTAATATGGAAACTTCTGATTCAGATGAGCCTGAGAAAAAGCGCCCTCATCTGAACAACTCCGACATGGCACGTCACCCTAACCCTTCTCCGGAAAATGGCACCGTATGTTTTAACTCTATCATTATTTTCTCTATCGTCTCATTCCTTATTTATTAGCAGCTTAACACATTCACTGAAGATTGGAGTACCATTTTTTTAAGGTTTTGATAAACTCAAAATTAGGGCTTCACATTGTAGTTTGGGCAAGTCGGTGTTTTGTATGTTCAGTTAGTGATTTCTACTATATTGATATAAATGGCACGGACGCTGGATTCTGATAAAACAGTAACATTAAATGAATTGAAGGCTACACAAGCTTTTGCGTATTTTCTTGAGGTTACTATTTAAAACCTAATGTTCCATTTGCTATTGACGTATTGTAGGTTGATGCGACAGTGCTGCAGTATCAAAATCAGAAACTTGTTCAGCAGTTAGATGTCCAGAAGCAGGAATTACATGATCTAGAAGACAAAATCAAAGAATTAAGACATGAGCAAACTTCTTATGATGACTTTTTGATCAAAATCAACCAACTATGGAGACAGGTAACTTCTTAATTCAAATTTCCTTTATAATTAGTATCATAGTTTTTACTTGAACCCCTTTTTTTCTAGTTGGATGATGACTTAATTCTCCTTGGAGTACGAACTGGAGCAGGCCAAAGTGCCTTGGAAGCATTGCAACATGCAGATTCTTCACGAGGTCTTTAACTATATATTTATCTTATCTGACCCTTAATTATGAAATTACTTAATTGACCCTTAATTATCAACTTATTACTCATTTAGGTTCAATCCCTTCTTGTCCTGCTGAGGAAATATTCCTTTGCAGACTCCTGCAGTCGGATTCCATTGAAAAGAATGGAAGTGAAGAACGACTTATTTATATAAAAGAAGCTCTTGCTTTGAGGCATTCATCTACTCTAGAGTTAATGAAATTAATAGAAGATACTATTCAAGCCCTGATGTGTAAAATTGAGAGCATTGATCAATCTTTTCATGAAAAATCAACCACAGAAGGTCGGTTTTGCCCTTATTTGGAGGAAAAAAAATTTCTTACATACTTATCCACTACTAAACAGTCTAAACTAACACTATCATGATTCATGAATGTCTCAGATGCGATTATTCAGTTGAATAAGATTGATGAGTTGATGAAAGAGGAAGTTAAGCAATTACAAATAGTAATAGAAGCTCTCCATTTGAAACATAAAGAATATGCTGACATGATTCAGAGTTATATTCATACCCATTCAGTGGATCAATCCGAAATCAAACGTGTTGCAGGTTTTACAACATTTTCATCATCTTTAACAAATGATTCACCAACATTTAGGTATCTGAATCTCTTTTGATTATATTTCTTTTTTTTATGATTCTTATAAGGTGACCTGGAGGACAGCATGGCAGAACTTGAAGAAAGTAGAAGAAAACTTGTGAATTTAAAAATGCAAAAGGACAGAATCGCCATTGTGCAATCTCCAGTTCCATTTGCTGTTAATGGAAGTATTTCACCTGAAAATACTGTAGATAAAACTATGGGATTACGCGATTTAAAAGACTCCATAGAGGAAGCAAAGGTTTTTATTCTACTATTTCACTATTTCACTATTTCACTATTTTACTATTCTACCCCTAGGCCTACAAACAAAGTATTATATTAACTTTAAACTAATGTATAGATAGTAGCATCTGATCGTCTTTCTGAGCTTCACGAAGCACAAGAGGACAATATGGTCTTATCAAAACAATTACACGATCTTCAGGTTTTTCTTTTTCTTTTTTCTTTTATGTACTTCTTGATTCCTATGTTTTAACACATTATATGTTGGCAGAATGAACTGAAGGACAACAAATATATTTACACATCACGCCCTTACACTTTACTCAATGATCAACTTCCATATTGGAAATCTGAAGTTGAGCGATTCAGGGTGGTGATAGATTCCTTACAGGTAATTAATTAATTACTTTTATAAATTTTCTTTGTGTAATATTCTTTTGATATTTAAAAAAAAAATGTTAAAATTTCAGGTTGATAGGTTTGCAGTTATGCGAAAAGAGAAAGAACTGAGTTTAAAAACTGAGTCAGTAGATGCTTTGAAGAATCCTATTGACAACACTGATTCCACTATTGAAGAATTAGAGCACAAACTTCAGCAATACATTAATGAGAGCAATGAATTGGAGATTAAAATGGAAGAAGCTGTTCAAGATTCAGGTAAATTTAGTTATAAATATAAAATAAACTTATCATATGCAAATTATTTTACTGAAAGTTTAATTTTTTTAGAGAGAAAAGACATTAAAGCAGAGTTTGAAGTCATGGGCTCAGCTTTATCTAAAGAAATTGGAATGATGACATCACAATTGAATCGATGGAAAGAAACAGGAAGTGAAGCTCTTAAATTACAAGAGGAAGCACAGTCACTTAGGGCTTTGGTGGACAAAAAGGTTGTTTTTATTTATTTATTTATTTATTTTTTTGAAAACCATAATATTTGGTTTGCTATTTTTTTTAAAAAGCTTGAAACTTTTATTGATTATAGAGTAGGGAACATAAGGAATTGGTGGATAGCTGTTTTGAACAGAGTTCAGAGATCAAGAATTTACAAGCCCATGTAAGTTTTCTAGTTTCTATTTTATTTCTCATTTGAATTTTTTATTTAATATATTAATAAAATGATTTTAAGTTTATATACAAAACTGTTGTAGATTGAGAGACTTGAAAAGGAAAATTTAGAATCACAGATTTTTCTGGATATGCTTGGACAGAGAATATATGACAATAGGTATATATAATGTAAAAACATTCAGTTTATATTCTTTTAATGTGTTATTAAAATTTTTACTTTTTTTTTTTTTTTTTTTTTTTTTTTTTAAAATTTTTTTTTGTACAAGGGATATAATGGAAATAAAGGAATCAGAAAGAAGAGCTCATTCACAAGCTGAAGTTTTAAAAAATGCATTTGAAGAACACAGTTTGGAATTAAGGATTAAATCTGCTAAAGAAACTGAAATTGCTTGCCAACAAAGATTATCCATCACTGAAGCTGAAATTGCTGATTTAAGGGCTAAATTGGATGATTCAGACAGGTTTGACTTTTGACTTTAGTAAAGACAATCTTGCCCTTGTGACTAAAACTAATGTTTTTGGAACTTGTAGGGATGTTTTGGAACTTGAAGAGGCTATTAAAATTAAAGATGGAGAGGCAGAGTCTTATATTTCTGAAATTGAGGTATTTTGTTAGTTAGTCCTACAAGGGCATTTTGGTCATTTGTTGTCATATTTTTATCATTTCTTTTTTCAGACTATAGGTCAAGCATATGAAGATATGCAGACCCAAAATCAGCATCTGTTGCAGCAGGTGATGGAGAGGGATGATTACAACATTAAGGTTAATTCTTTTCCTCTGTTTTTAAATCCAATTAATGGGAAAACGAATCAATTTTGATTATATATTTTTTTTAAACTTTGTTTCATATTTATGAGATTTGGTATTTTTGTTACTTTGTAACGAAATACTTCATTTTTCTTAATGAAACAATTTCATAAATGGTATTAATAAACATACCACATGTTTAATATTTTTAGTTTCATGTTTTGGCCATAATAGTTTAGTATTTTAGCAGTTTTGATCCCTATGTACAAAATAAATTACAAAATCAGTCCCTGTAATTTACAGAAAAGGTCCCTGTGCAGATTAATTTTTACAGAAATGGTCCATGTGTTTAAGACCTTCGTACTTTGATAGATTTGGTCCCTGTGTAGAAAATAAATTTCAAAAACTGTCCCTACAATTTACAAAAAAGGTCCCTATGCAGATTCTTTTTACAGAAACAGTCCATATATTTATAAAATTTGCAGATTATGTTTAAAAAATTTACAAAATAGCCCCTACCTGATAGATTGCCATGTTTCTTCCCTACATTTTTTGATTTCACACTTTAGCCACATGACTTCTGTATATTTTCAGGTTTGCTCCCTACACTTTTGTGGTTACACAAAGTTTGGTCCCCCCACAAAGTGGGGGTAGTAACTTACTAGTTTGGTTACTATTTCTCAATAATCTTGCCACATCAGCATTCAGCGCTAATTTTCTTGGATTTTTGTTGTCCTTTTTGGTACAGGTGGTTTCTGAAAGTGTAAAGATGAAACAAACACATAGTGCTCTACTTTCTGAAAAACAAACATTAGACAAACAGCTTCAACAAATGAATTCAGCATTTGAATCACTAAAATCACGGATTGCTCATTCAGAAGAACAGGTATTGTTTCATATAACAATTCCTTTTTTTTTTTTTTTTTTTTTTGTAATGATTTTATAACATGTGAAGATATGATGATGTAGATGAATGGTTGTGTGACACAAGCTCTTAAGTCAACCGAAGAAGACAGACACCTGGCAATCAACCTTGAAAACAGCAAGTGGGAATTATCGAATGCTGATAAAGAATTGAAGTGTCTTAAATCATTGCTTTCTTCTTCAGAAAAGGAATATGATCAAGTCCGTAGGAAGATGGAAGAGATTCAAGAGGAGTTGGACAATGAAAGGTATTATATTATAACTGATTCCATTGATTTGTGATTCCATTCCATCGATACTAACGGAATGGAATCGGTGGTTTTGAAACCAGAATGGACAGGAAGAAGCTTGATGAGGAGCTTGTTGAACTAAACATGAAGGTTACAGAATTAACATTAGGAAGTGGTGAAGCTGCTATTCAAAAACTCCAAGATGAAATCAAGGAGTGCAAATCTATTCTCAAATGTGGGGTTTGCTTTGATCGACCAAAAGAGGTATTCTTTTTTTTTTTTCTTTTTAATTTTTTCTTTTTGGTTTTAAGAATTTTGGGTGGTGGTTTTGGGACAGGTGGTGATTGTGAAGTGTTATCATCTATTTTGTAATCCGTGTATTCAGAGGAATTTAGAGATCCGACATAGGAAATGTCCTGGTTGTGGAATGGCTTTTGGGCAAAATGATGTTAGGTTTGTCAAGATATAAATATTTTATAGGAATTAGTTATTATTTTTTTTTTTTTTTGTAAACATAAAATATGTGGGCCATAGGAGGGAGATGGGTGTGTAATTAGTAGGGGTTACGTTACGTGGAAGTGTTAGAAAAATATGGCTGGATATTTTGATAGAATTGTATTGAAAGAAGTGTGATGTGGTGGTTTTCATTTTTATTACGGAAAAGGTTAAAAGATGACTAAATAATTTCTTTTGACCATTTTTAATCATTAAATTTAATTTTGTTCCAAAATCGTCTTATTTTAGTCCTTTAACCTGACATCGTGTCATATGTACATTAAATGTCTCGTTATGGCCTTTAACCTGCTTGCGTTCCATTTTCATTTCTTATGATTTGGACTTTATTGGAAATAAAACGATGGTCTTATAAATTTGACTTGGTATTTTAGCTCCTTAAAAGAACAGATTTACTAAAGTGGAAAATACCGTAGAGATAGAAAGCCAAAAGACTAAATTTGCTTATTAACAAAAAGATATAGAAAGACTTTAATCTTTAAAAAGAAAACATTAAACCTGTGAGTATTAGGTGAAACTCCTAATCCAAAAACTATTTCTAAGTTCCGAGCTTTTAGTTTTTATGTAAATTGATACATTTAAAAGATAAAAACCAATTTTCCGAACACTTGTACAGATAAAAGCTACATATTCCGGCTTTCAACTAATTGCTAGTTTTACCAAACACGCTCTAAATTTGTTTTCCCCTTAGAACTGAATCCGCTAGTAAATACTTGATATTTTTATCAATTTATAGCATAAAAATCCAACAAACTTTTCCATCTAGAAATCATGCAAAAAACACTCATCTACCTCTCTCTCATATTACAATTTAAGAACAGATTAAGTGTTTCTACAAGCATTCCCAGTAAATAGTCACTCACCTCATCAAAAGGCTTTCTATATTTTAATTGCCATCAAAGCAACAACTGTTTTATAGATTACTCAACTCCAACAGATGCCATCAAGTCATCATACCTAGGATCACTCTCCTGCTTCCTTAAATTTTGAGGATTCCCAGGCTTATGTGGCCCAACACTAGGCGAAAACGGATCATATATATGTTGACGTGGCACAAATGGATGACCTGGCCTACCTAAAGGATGCAGTGCATTGCCACTAACTGCTGATTTGGAGGCAAGACGTTCTTTGGCTGAATCCCATTGACGGATGATGATTTTGTGGAACTTGTGCAAAGTTGCTAGACCTTGGCAGCAAAATGTTGGCTGGTGGACCAAACTGCCTAGCGGGTGGTGGTGGACCATGGCCAGAAAAAACAGGCCGCCTATCCGACATACTTGATGGGCCAATTTGATGGCTATTTTGTGGCCTATGAAACCCTTGCTACATCATAGGTGGTGGTGGTCCTGGCCGGAATGACGGTGGTTGAGGTGGCGACATGAACTGAGACCCTGGCCTTGGAAGTGGCTGAGAGGAGAGAGGTTGTGGGCGGTGGGTTTGAAAGGTGAAATCGTTGAACTTATTGGTTGTGGTCTTAGGGTGGTCATGGGCGGCTGCAACCTTATAGATGGCGGCAACATTGACCTAGCCGGTGGTGGCGGTGGTCGAATCATCATCTGTGGGGCAGCGGCGGTTGAGACCAACCACTAGAGGTCAAAGGTTGAGGAATAGGCGACCTTATTGGCCACATATTTGGGGATGAAAAATTAGGCTGACGTGACACACCTTGTACAAGTGGCAAAGGATTCCTGGGTGGACCCGCATAACCCATATTTGGTGGTTGGGATTGTATGCGGGCAGAATTTGAAGGGGTTGAAATTGACAAATTTGAAAAAGGAGGGGTTGAAACTGATAAGTTTGGAAATGGAGGGGTGGGAAGCCATTGATTAAGTATCGAGGAAACTGAGGTAATGGTGGTGTTTGGTTTATAGAGGGAGGTGGATATGGATCTTAGGTGAGACTAACCATGGTTGGGTTATCTTTAGAGACTGGAACTTTTATAGGCTCGGGTTCAGTGTTTGCCTAAATAAAAAGTCTGATTATATGGACTAAATTTGTAAAATATTATATTATTAAGGTTAAAATTGAAACATTCAAACTTAGTGAAACTGGTGTGATTAGTAACTTAATAATAAAGGGGAAAATGACACTGTAGCACATTAAAGTTTCGTCAATTGTCAAATTTGGTCACTAAAGTAATTTTCTTGCGCAATAGACTACTAAACTCGTATTTGACCTATCAATTAAGCAATTTTCATGTTTTTAAAAGGTTTACCGGTTTCATGCTTACGTGGATACGTGATGTGTCAAAAAAAAAACCCATACGTGTAAATCCAACGTGGACTACTGACGTGGCAATGAGGATCTATTTGCCCACCAACTTTATTAATTGAAATCCTGATTTGGACCGCCTTCACTTCTTTCTTACCCATTCGTGAAAACTCAAATCAAGAACCTTCCTTTTCTTAATCCGACTGTTGCGTTCTTCAAGATCAATGTCTTCGAGCTTGTCCACTGCAAGGAATCGACTCCAAGTTGCTCGTGTCTATGTTCTAGACGGTGTGCCAAAATGCGATTGCGATGTTCCAGCTAAGGAACAAACTTGTTGGAAACTCACTAACCCCGGAAGGCGTTTTTGGAATTGCCGAAATAGTATGGTAAGCTCTCATCACCAACTAGACAGATACTTGGTGTCGTACAATTCAAATTGTATAATATATGAGAATCTTGTTCATTGGAAAATTATGACTTAAATCACTGTTCACATGTTTATGTGAGACAATTGAATGACTAATGGATCTAGTACATATTGATATGGATTAGGGGTGAGCATTTGGACCGAACCGGACTGGTTTCGGAGAATATTGTGGACCGTGGACCAGACTGGATGAGACTTATCGGGTCCAGGTCAATGTTCGAGTCCATGTCTGGGTTTTCCGATTCTTGGATCCGTTTGGACTGGTATAACTTTACATGCATATATGGTACTTGTTAAAACGTGTTTTTGGGTTTAATACAACTCGTTAAAACGAATATGTTGCTGGGTTTGATAAGTTACAACTCGTTAAAATGAAGACTTTTTGGGTTTGATACGGTACAACTCGTAAAAATGAATATGTTTCCGTTTCTTGTGCCCTTTGGACCGGTCAAACTTTGATTGTTTATACTTTATACCATTTGTTTGAAGGATTGTAACTCATTAAATATAACACCAAAAACAACAAATTATAGTCTAAACTCATCTACAAACTCTAAATTACACGTTGGAAAAAACCGCATGTCAATTTGACTTAAAACAAATAAGATATGCTTTTTAAAGAACTCATAGAATACAAAAGTTTAAATTTCTTGCTGAAAAGCTGAAATATTTCAGCTTTGATATCTCATCTTTGAAGGATTGTAACTCATCGAATATAATACCAAAAACAACAAAATTATAGTCTAAAGTCATCTACAAATTCTAAATTACATGTTGGAAAAAACCGCATGTCAATCCGACTTAAAAAGAATGAGATACTCTTGTTTAATGAATTTCAACGAATACAAAAGTTTAAATTTCTTGCTAAAAACTGAAATATTTCAGCTTTGATATCTCATCTTTGAAGGATTGTAACTCATCGAATATAACACCAAGAACAACAAAATTATAGTCTAAAATCATCTACAAACTCTAAATTACATGCTGAAAAAACCTTCATGTCAATCCGAATTAAAACGAATGAGATATGCTTGTTTAAAGAATTTCACAGAATACAAAAGTTTAAATTTCTTCCTGAAAAGTTGAAATGTTTCAGCTTTGATTTCTCATCTTTGAAGGATTTTAATTCATCGAATATAACACCAAAAACAACATATTATAGTTTAAAATCATCTACAAACTCTAAATTACACATTAGAAAAAAACCACATGTCAATCCGATTTATAACGAATGAGATATGATTGTTTAAAGAATTTCACAGAATACAAAAGTTTAAATTTATTGCTGAAAAGCTGAAATAATTCAGCTTTGATATCTCATCTTTGAAGGACTGTAACTCATTGAATATAACACCAAAAACAACAAAATTATAGTCTAAAATCATCGATAAAATCTAAATTACATGTTGGAAAAAACCGCATGTCAATCCGACTTAAAACGAATGAGATATGCTTATTTAAAGAATTTCACAGAATACAATTTTTTTAAAAAAAATAAGCTGGTCTAAAATCGGTTTTTACCCAGAACCAGCAGGACCAGACCAGTAAAAAATTGGACCGGTAAAAAAATGGACCGGTTTTGCTCAAATCCTAGAACCGAGAACTGGCCCGGGGGTCCAAAAAAACGATCTGGTTCGGTCCGGTCCGATCCGGTCCACATGTCCAAATGCTCACCTCTAATCTTCAGATCTACCAAAAGGGACGATAACTCTATTCGTCATGATTTATTGATGTTTCAATAAATATGATTGTGTTTATAAGATTAAACAAAATTTTGATACTTTGAAAAGATTCAACTAGTAGTAGAATGAATAAAAAAATCAATTAAGCAGAAAGATAAAGGATTCTCCAATCTGAAAAGAAAGGAGAGTGCTTTAGTATCATGTTTTATGATCATCTTAGTAATTGTGGAATTGTATCACAATTAATCCTCAAAGAACATCTTAGTGTAATTGTATGACTAAGAAGAGGAATCAAACATTGATGGAAATGGTTCAATCATAGATGAGTCATACTTTGTTCCAATCAAAGTTTTAGAGTCATGCTTTAGTATCTGTAAATCGTATCTTGAAACTCATTTCAAAACTGAGAAGGATGATAACACCTCATAATATGTGGAGTAATAATGTTTTCTTAACATTTGGAATTGGAGTTGTGATGTTTTTTCGTTGATCGAGAAACAAAAGATAAATTGAGTCTCATTCTATGAAGTGTTTTCTTGTCGGAAATCCGCACGAACTTTTGAATATTGGGTTTAGCTCTTCAATGAATGTTTCTTGAGAGAAAAATTATATGTCAAGAAGTCAGTGGGAGTTGTATTTGATGGGTTTGAAGCAAAACATCAATCCTATGGTGCACATGCAAACCCTAAAGCTTTGGATCTAGTTTTCTCTATTGTACATGCAAACCATCCAAAGCTTATAAACCCTAATTCTAGCATATGAAATTCGAAAATACTATCTAAAGAAGTTTAGATGATTACCTTTCAAGAGTAGCAAGAATCTTCAATCTTCAAGAGCTTAGTAT